CCCCAGTCCCCATGGCAAGCCACTGCCGACCCCACCTCCTCAGGAGACCCTCTGACACTAGCAGTGACAATGTACACCTGTATTCTCCTGGGAGTGTTCCTGAATATCAGTATACCTACATTTTTTGAGCTTTTTGTGGAAACTGTCTACCCAGCTCCAGAAGGAATTACTTGTGGAGTTGTCAGTTAAATAATACATTCATGGGAGTACTTTATTTTTTTCTCACATTTTATCACAGAGTTGTCTTGGTTCAACTGGTGCCTTCCCGGGTCCTGTTTGCTCAATCTCCTCTTCATTCTGTGCTTCAGGGAATCCTATGATAGACTCTATCTTGATGCAGTTGTCTCAGTTTACTAGCACAGACTTGAAGGAGTTTAGAGACTGGAAATCAATACTGCACACTACACATTTGCTTGGAATTGCACAGGAGAAAATAAAGGAGAAGAGAGAAACTCATTCAGAGGTTTTGTTAGGTTACAGATTATCACATTAATTTAATTACTACTAGGTAATAATAATGTGGAACTTGAGTGATAATAGTGGATTTTAAATTTAAAAAAAAAATCCAAAAATAGATATGCAAAAAACAACAAAGGTTTACTGTATAGCACAGGGAACTATAGTCAATACCTTGTAATAACCTATAATGGAAAATAATTTCAAAAATAATATATGTGTATGTGTATAACTGAATCACATACACAACAAAGAATTCTACTTTTTGAAATTTTGTAACGTTTATCTTTTGGCCAGCTTCTCTAAATGTCCTATGGACACCTAATAACAATGTATGATATGCTGCTGCTGCTGCTGCTGCTAAGTCACTTCAGCCGTGTCCGACTCTGTGCGACCCCATAGACGGCAGCCCACCAGGATCCGCCGTCCCTGGGATTCTCCAGGCAAGAATACTGGCGTGGGTTGCCATTTCCTTCTGCAATGCATAAAAGTGAAAAGTGAAAGTGAAGTTGCTCAGTCATGTCCAACTCTTAGCGACCCCACGGACTGCAGCCTATCAGGCTCCTTCATCCATGGGATTTTCCAGGCAAGAGTACTGGAGTGGGTTGCCATTGCCTTCTCCAATGTATGAGATATAAAATTTTAAATAGATTTGTGTAGGATATAAGATGAGTATAAATTAATTAAATATAAATCTATTTAAATTATTAATAACATCATTCAAGATGTTATTCCTATTTTTTCTGCACTTTATAAAATATTCTCAAAGAAATATTAATATGTCTATGTATGATTATATGTCTTTTTCCCTTTATATTTCTTCTGATTTTTTGCTTTATGTATCTTGGTTTCTTTATAGTTAGGTGTCTAGTGACTTATGATGTTTATCTTCTTTGTGAATTATACCTTTTATCATTAAAAATATTCATCTTTAAAAAATATTCATCTTTGTTATATTTAAAATAAATAAATAAATAAAATCCTACAAAGTATGTTCTCCAACTACAATGGAATAGAAATGAGTAATAGAATAAATCTAGCAAATTCACAAATATGTAGAAGTTAAACAACATACTTCTAAACAATCAGTAAGTCAAAGAAGAAATTGCAAGCAAAAGTAGAAATTATTTTGAGATTCATGAAAACAAAAAAACAACACACTAAAACTTATGGGATGCAGCTAAAGCAGTGGGAAAAAGGGAGAATATATAGCTGTAAATGTCTACATTTTAAAAAGAAGAAAACTCTCAAACTAATGATCTAATCACATTTTAGGAAACCAGAAAGGGAAGAAAAAACTAAGCTCAAAGCAAGTAGAAGAAAAGACATAATAAGGATCAGAACAAAAGTAAATGAAATAGACAGAAAAATAATGGAGAAAATGGAAAAAATAAATGGTTCTTTAAAAAGAACAACAAAATCAGCAAAACTTTATCTAGACTGACCAAGAATAAAAAAGAGGACTCTATAAGATCAGGGAGAAGAAAAGGATATCTGCTCTCATCACTTCTATTCAATGTCGTTCTGCAGATTCTAGCAAGGCAACTAGTCAAGATTTGGGCAGGTAGGGTAATGCCTTCCCCAAAGGTCCGTTTTTTAATCCCTATAACCAGTGCAAATGTTAGGTTACCTGGGAAGGGGAAATTAAAATTGCTAATCTGCTGATTTTAAAATAGATTATCCTGGATTATCCAGTTGGGCCCAATGGAATCACACAGGTACTTTTAAATTGAAAAGAGAGGCGGAGGAGTTCAGAGTCAGAAGAAGGGTCATGGAGGGCTTCCCTGGAGGCTCAGTGGTAAAGAATCTGCCAACCAATGCAGGAGACACAGGTTCCATCCGTAGTCCAGGAAGATCCCACATGCCACGGATCGACTAAGCCTGTGTGCCACAACTATTGAGCTTGTGCTCTAGAGCCCCGGAGCCACCAACTACTGAGCCCACATGCCGCAGCTACTGGAACCCCCACTCCCTAGAGCCTGTGCTCCACAATAAAAGGAGCCACTGCAATGAGAAGCCCACACAACTAGAGAGTAGCCCCTGCTCGCCACAACTAGAGAAGACCCAAAGACCCAGCACAGCCAAAAATAAATCAATCAATAAAATTATATATATATATAAAGAATGGTCATGGAGATACAACGGTGCTGGCTTTGAAGAGGAGAGGGAATTTGGGCAACCTCTAGAAGCTGGTAGAAGAAACAAGAAAATGGGTTCCCCTGAGAGCCTCCAGAAAGGAATACAGCCCTGCCAACACCTTGACTTTAGTGCAGTTAACGACTCATGTTGGACTTCTAATCTGTAGGACTGTGAGATAATATATTTCTGTTGTTTTAAGAAGCTAAGTATGAGGTGACTTGTTACAGGAACAACAGGGAACTGGAATAATGGTCAACAGATTTTTGACAAGGATACTAAGACAATTCAGTGGAGAAAGAATAGACTTTTCAACAGTGTTGGGACAATTCTTTGGCATATGCCAAAGACTGAAGTTGGGCCCCTACCTTGCAACACATACAAAAATTAACTTCAAGTGGATCATAGATCTAAATTTAACAGGTAAATCTACAAAAGTCTTGGAAGAAAACAATAAATCTTTGTGACCCTGGGTTAAGCAATGTCTTAGATAAGATACCAAAAGGAAGCAAGGAAAGAAAAAAATAGATAAACTGGACTCTAATTTAAAAGATTTCATGAATCAAAGGAGACCATCAAGAAATTAAAAAGATTATCGAGAGAATAGAAGAAAATATTTGCAAACCATGTATCTGATAAGAGACTTGTATATCCAGATAAGAGACTTCTTTATCCAAAAAACATAGTGTTACTCATCCAGTTGTTCAGTCTGACTCTTTGTGATCCCTTGGAGTGTAGCCCACCAGGCTCCTCTGACCATGGAATTCTCCAGGCAAGAATACTAGAATGGGTATCCATTCCCTTAAGAACACTAAAAATCCAACAATAAGAACAAAAAAAACCTAATTAAAATAAGGACCAAAGATTTGAATAGATATTTCTCCTAAGAAGATAAACAAATAGCCAATAGGCACATAAAAAATGCTCACCATCATTAGTCACTAGTGAAACGTAAATCAAAATCCTAATATTATACTACTTCACACCCACTAAGATTGCTAAAATAAAAAAGACAGACAATAGCATGTGTTGGTGAAGATAGGAAAACTTGGAAGCATTTTGCCTTGCTCTTGGGATTCGATAATGGTACAACTAATTTGGAAGATAGTTTGGCAGCTTCTCAAAATGTTAAATATAGACTTATCATGTGATTCAGCAATTCTACTCACTGTTATCTACTCAAGATCAATGAAAACATACATCCATACAAACTTGTACAAGAATTTTCACAGCAGCCTTGCTCATAATTGACAAAAAAAGTAAAACCAACAAAACTGAATGGGAAAACAAAATGTGGTATTTCCATATAACATTATTTGGTGATGAAAAGGAATAAAGTAATGATACACGCTACAACATGTAGGAACCTTGAAAACATAATACCAAGTGAAAGAAGACAGACACAAAAGGCCACATGTTGTATGATTCCACCCATATAAAATGTCTAAAATATGCAAATCCATAGAAACAGAAAGTAGATTTAAGGAACTGGGGGGAGGGAGGAATGAGTGACTGTGGGTATGAAATTTCTTTGGGGGGATATAAAAATGGTCTAAAATTATATTGTGGTGATAGTTGCACAACCCAGTGAGTATAACAAAAAACAGTAAATCACACACTTTAAATGAGTGAACTGTATGGTATGTGAATTATATCTCAGTAAAGCCATTAAAAAATAGATGTAAAAGCATATAAGCAGGATGTCCCTGGCAGTCCAGTGGTTAAGACTTCATGCTTCCAATGCAGAGGACATGGGTTTGATCTGTGGTTGGGGAACTGAGATCCCACATGCCATGTGGCATGGCCTAAAAATTTCACAACAACAAAAAAAGCAAACAAAAACCCATATAAGCGTATCCAAAGAGAGCAGAACTTAACTGTTCTTATCTCCCTGCCAAATATAGATGTAAATATATGAGGTAAAGGATGTATTCATTAACAGTTGGGAGAATTCCTTTCACAGTGTATCAAATATCACTATATACACTTAAAATGTATTATAATTTTATTTATGAATTATACTGTGATAAAGCTAAAAATTATAAAACACAAAGGATTTTTTTTCAAAGCAAACATAAAAAAAAAGTAGACATATAAGCAAATCCAAAGAGGGAAAGGTGTGGACCATGAACCACGCACGGTCAGAAAGCAAAGGAAAACAGGAAGTTGAAGGGAGCGCCCAGACCAGAGAGGCTGTACAGTTGGGGAGAACCCTGGCTGGAGGAGGTGTTGGGAGCTGTAAAGCACAAGGGCGCAGAGCAGAGGTGGGGACTAGGCCCAGAAGGAGAGACTGGATGCCCCAAAGAATGGTGCTTGCTTCAGTTTTGTCAAGAGCCAGCCTTCAAATGATCTCTGAGAGAAGGTCCTAGAGCCTTGATGAGGAGAGCCTATGATGTCAGCACCCGGCCTTTGTGACATAGGCACTAGGTGCCAGGGAGAACTGCTCCAGGAAATGGGGTTCCCAGCTCCCAAAGGGGGCGGCGAGGCCGCCCCTTAGACACAGTCTCCGTCTCCCAGAGGCTTTCACCAGCTGGCCCCACTGCTACTGCTGCTACTGAGGGTGAAAAGCCATCTGGGTTGGGGCCGGGCTGAGTCAGAGGACATCAGCGTCAGGGAAGACAGGGACTAGGGCCACCAGAGTGCCACAAAACCAGGATGCTCGCGTAGTCTGTGACGTGGATTTAAGAGAACGAACACCTGTAATAGAAGACCTCCTCCTGGCTGAAGGACTGAGGGCAAGACTCAGACTAAAATCTGAGTCAGAGTGAGTTTAGGGTGACAGACGCTGGGGGCAGAGGGGCATATCCACCATTTGTTGACTGTATTTCCCTCTCTCCAAGGTCCCCTCATCACTGAAGTGCCTTGAGAAACGGCCCAGGGGAATCTTTATTGGTAAGAGTTCCCAGGACCACAATACCCTCAATTCCTAGTTCCATCTCAGTCTCCATCTCCCAATTCCCCTCTTCTAACTCCAGCCTCTCCACCCTCCCCTCCCTTGCCTCTCCTCTCCTCCTCCGTCTCACCTTCTCTGGAGCTTTTTGCCAGCTCTTCTGACCCCAGAGGTGATATGGATTTAGGATCTTGGCAAACCAGCCTGTACATAGTACATAAGCCAGAGTCAGAAATGGACCCAGTCTCCCTGTGTCATGGACTCTGTTTCTTTCTCTACAGATCCTATGGGCTGTGTCTTCCCCCGTGGCCCACCCAGATAACTGTTGCTGCCCCTCAGCTCCAGAGAGGCAGTTCAGATCCTCCATGCCCTCCACCCCTCATCAATGGCCGGCTGCAAACAAGTGAGAGACCACATTTAGAGCCAAGCTCCTGCCCGAACACTCAGAGAACCTGGTGCTCCAGGGCTGGGTGGCTCCTTCGAGTGCCACCTAAAGCCATACCAACACCAGGCTGGAGCCACATTCTGTGCACAGAAGGTTTTGATTTCTCAGCCACTTCAGGCTTCAGAGATACTGGTCTTGCGTCTGCCAGGTCTCTCATCTCTGGTCTTGGCACCCCAGTCCCTTCCGGATTCAAGGCAATGCTGCCTCCAAACAAGGCCCAGGTGCTGCTACGGAACACAGCGTCCCCTGGGCGGCCCCCTCAGGGCCCCTCACAAACTGCAGACTCCCTTTTCTATAACCTACAACCTCAGCCTCGCCAACAATCACTCCGCTCCACCCAGCCATCTTGCTCTCCTCCCCCACGGTCCCACTCTGCGGGCTCCCACCTCTACTCTTCTGACTCAAATTCGGACTTCATCCTACATCGCTGCTCTTCTTCTCTCTCAAATTCCCCCACTTTCTTTCATCAGAATTGCCTCTCTCTCTCCCCTCCCTGTTCTTCCTCGCCTTCCCGCCGGCTATTCCCCTCTGCTACCCTCACGCACTCCTCCTCGCCCTCTCAGCCACAGAACTCCTCTTTCCCCGGCTCGCCTTGCCAGTTGCCTTTCCACCTCGAAGATCTACCTACCTCCACTCTCACATCCCCGAGCCCCAACCCACCTTCTCGTGGGGTCCACTCTAACGGCCAGGCATGGCACTTGCATCAGTACAGGAAAACCAGGTCCCCTGGGGAGGAGGGGGTATGCGTGGCAAGCGGGAAGGACCCTGCAGAGTTCAAGGACCCAGGAGCCCTGGCCCAGGCCCTGGTGCTCCGTCTGGGACACCGCCGTATCGCCCACGACTTGCAGCTACTGCTTTTGCAGCGCCTGTGGCTAGGCCAAGCCGACAAGGCCCCGGTCGTGGAGTACCCTGTATGCCTGGTGTGTCTCCAGCTCCGCACCCCCTCTTGCCCCATCCCCAGGTACAGGACTGGACCCATACTGCTTGCTTTCCCCCAGCTGCTGCCCTGTACCCAGGGCAAGGAATCCGGACCGCTCCGCATGGGCATTGGCTTTGGCCTCCGCCTGCCTCAGGGCCAGGCCAAGGCCCTACATCTGCTGCCAAAAAAAAAGCCGGAGGAAGCAGGGCCTCAGGCCACAGCTGCTCAGGCCAGTGGGTGTCAGGCCCAGGCAGCTCAAGCCCCAGCAGCTCTGGCCCAGGCAGATCTAGGCCCAGGCACCCTCTCCCAGAACGGGAGCCTCAGGTCTGTAGGCCGCCAGTCACTAAACTCCACGCGCCATTCAGAGTCTCCAACTCAGGCACCAAAACAGGCTATGGTCCACTTGAAGCCCAGGCCTTCCTCTGCCCCAAAGAGACCTGCTTCTCCAGGGCCCATTCCCCAAAAGTCACCACTCTAGTACCAGAGCCACGGAGGCCCCCTGGAGCACCTCCTCTGAACCCCACCAGCCCTGCCCGGCCCCAGACCTCAGGGAGCCCCCGAGACACTCTGAAGGGCTGGCTGGCTGGAGGTCAGGTGTGTTCTCCAGTCCTGAACCCGGGGAGCCCCTTGTGGAGTCTGCTTTCTCCTGGCTGAAGAGGACCAAGGGCATCTGAGGCCCCACTCAGCCTTCTGTGTATCCAATTAAAAAAAAAAAAGCCTGACCCTGCAAAACTTGTGTTTGCGTCTTGCTGAGCAGATACTGTGGGTGGCTGTACCTTCAGGGTGACCAGAACCCAACAAGGGGTGCAGGAGAGTCAAAGTTAACAGAATGGTCAAGGAGAGTGCACGCGCTATATCTGAAGAGGTCAAGGGACCCACAAGACCTGAGCAACTGAGAGATGCAGAAGGCTCCGCCAGGCCCTTCATACATTTAACTCAATTTGGTAGGACAGTTAATGGCATCCCCAGAGATGAAGCCACTGGGTCCCTTCCTCTGGTTGCACCTCAGATTAACAAAGACTCATGCTGACGTCGCCAGGGAGCCGCAGGAGGTGTTCCCTTGAAGGGAAGGGCAGGCCTAGGGTTCACTGCAGAGAAACAGGGAATCCCCACATTGGATGGAGATCAAAAACCCAAGGGCCCTCTCAGGAGGATGCGGCGCTAGGCAGAGACCTTCAACTGCCTGGGGGCCAAGTTGCCTATCTGCCCACCCTGAGGTGCCTGGAGTGGGTGTGGAACGTTGAGAATGGCCAGCTCCCACCTCTGCAAACTTCCTCTGCTACTGTAAATAGTAGCTTCCTCATACTAGGAAGCGGTGGCATCGGGATTTGAAGCCAAGTTTCAAGTTCAGGCTGCCGCCGTTTAAGAGGCCAAGAGCCAGGAGTGTGACCTTGGATAAATCACTTTGTCTCGGGGAGGGGCGGTAAACATAAGGGCTACGCTTGACGAGTCTGCATGTCACTCTTGAAGTGTGGACAGCCCTGATCCGAGGATTTATTAAAGGCTTATTAACCTCCCTTAATCTTTCAGCCTGCCCCAGCCCCGAGCCAGACATTTCCGTGAAGCGGCCGCCCGCCTCCACCGCCCCGCAAAAAGATGGCGTAGTTTGCAGTCATCTGAAAGCGGAGAACGGAATTCACGCACCCGGGTTCCGCCAGCCTGAGGCCGGCTAGTGCTGACGCGTATCGGCGGCTCTGCGCCTGCGCGAGGAGAGCGGGCTAGGTGCGCCTGCGCGCTGCGGGTCTGAGAGACCGGGTTAGACTGCCACGGGCAGTGTTAGGGATAGTTACAGTGTGGCTAGAGTTTCGGCAGCTCGGCGGGTGTGAGAAGGGTCTGGAGTCCTCTCGGCAGCAACCCGACCAAGGTCCACAGCGGCCGGGACAGCAGTCGAAGGCCGGGCGCGGCATGTCCCGGGGACCTCGGCCCCGACAGTGAAGCGCGCGGCGAGCGGGATGGGTCGGCGCCGGACGCCAGAGCTGTACCGGGCCCCGTTCCCGTTGTACGCGCTTCGGGTCGACCCCAGCGCGGGGTTGCTCATCGCTGCGGGCGGAGGAGGTGCCGCCAAGACCGGCATAAAGAATGGGGTGGTGAGTATACAGGCCCGCTGGGGCCGGGTCGCACAGCGGGCTGAGGGCGATTCCTGGAGGTCTGGGAGCGGGCCGCACCCCCGCTTCGGACCCTTCCCCTCCCAGGTGGGAACCGCGACGTGCCGGGCGTCCCGGCACGAATTTGTCTTGAACCATTCACTGGTGAATTGAGGGGCCCCTAAGGTAAAATGAAAACTGCACACAGCGCTGCCTAGGCAGGAACGCTTCAATTGGATCTCAGGAATCAACTCCAGGGGTCGTAACCTGGCTTTCTTGGGGAGACTACATAAGACTTGTCTGTCTGCCCACTGGTAGCGGCGAGAGTGAAATATAAGCTAGGATTCTTCACTCTTTTGAGAGTTATGTTGTTCTGCAAACTAGACGTGATAATTCTAGCCTTGCTTGCTGTACACAAGAAAGTGGGAAAAAAAAGTGAAAGTGATAGTCGCTCAGTCGTGTCCGACTCTGCTACCCCATGTACTGTAGACCGACAGGCTTCTCTTTTCATGGAATTCTTAAGGCAAGAATACTGGAGTGGGTAGCCATTCTCTTCTCCAGGGGAGCTTCCCAACCCAGGGATCGAACCTGGGTCTCCTGCATTGCAGTAGATTCTTTACCGTCTGAGCCACCAGCGAAGACCAGTACACATGCTGCTGCTAAGTCGCTTCAGCCGTGTCCAACTCTGTGCAACCCCATAGACGGCAGCCCACCAGGCTCCCCCGTCCCTGGGATTCTCCAGGCAAGAACACTGGAGTGGGTTGCCATTTCCTTCTCCAGTGCATGAAAGTGAAAAGTGAAAATGAAGTCACTCAGTCGCGTCTGACTCTTAGCGACCCCATGGACTGAAGCCTACCAGACTCCTCCATCCATGGGATTTTCCAGGCAAGAGTACTGGAGTGGGTGCCATTGCCTTCTCCACCAGTACACATGAGTGAGGCTCAAAAAAGAAAAAAGTTTGGAAAAAGTCTTTAAACTAGAAAATGCAGGTAGCAGAGGGGGTGGGGCTTCAGACTACAGGATGTAAGTTTGCCCTTGAGGTGCTCTCTGAACCTTGCTTGTCCTGGTTCCCTCTCCCACAGCACTTTCTGCAACTGGAGCAGATTAATGGGCGCCTTAGTGCCTCTTTACTACACTCTCATGACACAGAGACACGGGCCACCATGAACCTGGCACTGGCTGGTAACATCCTTGCTGCAGGGCAGGATGCCCACTGTCAGCTCCTGCGCTTCCAGATCCATCAGCAGAAGGGCAAAAACAAGGCAGAGAAGGCAGGTGAGAGCCTCCCTGCTAGCTTTGGGCAAAGGGTTAAATGAGTGAACTCTTGCTCATCTTGGTCTCTGAAGAAGTGGGACTGGAGGTGGGATTATGGTAGCAAGAGAGAAGCTGATGTTGGCCACTGGAAAGGGCCAGTAGGACTTACTCTAGAAGCCTGGAACCTGGCAGGCTGTTTGTGTTGCAGGTTCCAAGGAGCAGGGGCCTCGACAAAGGAAAGGGGCAGCCCCAGCAGAGAAGAAGTCTGGCGCTGAAACCCACCAGGAGGGGGTGGAATTCAGCGTAGAGAATTTGCAGGAAGTGCAGACAGACTTCAGCCATGATCCACTGCAGAAAGTTGTGTGCTTCAACCATGATAATACCTTGCTTGCCACCGGAGGGACAGATGGCTGCATTCGTGTCTGGAAGGTGTGGTTTGGGGAGGTGGAGGATGAGTGTCAGTAACAGCAAGGCCAGAATTGTGAGAAACTGAACCTGGGTCCTGGGAAACTTGTGCGTAAAGCCTGCAGCGAGTGGCCACTAGTAGAGAAGAGGAGTGGGTATCATTTGCACTCTTGCCGGGTACCTAGGCTGACTGTGGTGGTGGTTTGGCTGCAGGTACCCACCTTAGAGAAGGTTCTGGAGTTCAAAGCCCACGAAGGGGAGATTGAAGACCTAGCTCTGGGGCCTGATGGCAAGGTGAGGAGGTGAGAGGGTGGAGAAAGTAGGTGATTATGCTGCTTGTCCAGTAAGTGGATCCCCCTAACTGTCCATCCTTGGAATCTTGATCCCTGAATAGTTGGTAACTGTGGGCTGGGACCTTAAGGCCTCCGTGTGGCAGAAGGATCAGCTGGTGACACAGCTGCACTGGCAAGAGAATGGACCCACATTTTCTAACACGCCTTATCGCTACCAGGCCTGCAGGTGTGAAGACCCCAGAGGGTGGCTTAAAGAGGCGCAGCCTAGATGTGGTGGGGGAGTGGGAAAAGGCCGGGGGGAAGCTGGCGGGGAGGGGATCGGAGCCTTGTCGGGTGTTACCCCAGACCTGACCAGGGTGCAGGAGGGCACAGACCTCTGAGGAGGGCTGGGCAGGCCCCGGGAGCTGAACAGCCTCTCGCCTGGCCCCCAGGTTTGGGCAGGTTCCGGACCAGCCTGCCGGTCTGCGACTCTTCACGGTGCAGATTCCCCACAAGCGTCTGCGCCAGCCCCCGCCCTGCTACCTCACAGCCTGGGATGGCTCCACGTTCCTGCCCCTTCGGACCAGGCCCTGTGGCCATGAAGTCATCTCCTGCCTTAGTGTCAGGTGTGAGACAGCGGTGGCTTGACTGGGTGTGAGGGTGCCCGGGGAGGCTTGGGGAGACGTGCTGCCCACGTCCCTGGGGGCTCTTGCTGCTGCACAGGGCTCCAGGACAGTGAGTGTTTTTTTGTTTGTTGCAGTGAATCAGGCACTTTTCTGGGCCTGGGCACGGTCACTGGCTCTGTTGCCATCTACATAGCTTTCTCGCTTCAGGTAATGGATGGACCTGGGCACAGCCATGAGGGCTCTCTGGGGTAGAGATTCTAGGCCTCCTTCTTCACTGAGTGTGCACGAAGGTGTCGGGCCCAGCCTGTAGAGGGAAAGTCTCTGGGTAGAGGGTGTGTTTTCCAGAAGGAATCTTCCCAACTGGGCTTTCCCTCACTAGCTTTCCTCTTGTCCCCAGCGTCTATACTATGTGAAGGAGGCCCATGGCATTGTGGTGACAGATGTGGCCTTTCTGCCTGAGAAGGGTCGTGGTCCAGAGCTCCTTGGGTCCCACGAAACTGCTCTGTTCTCTGTGGCTGTGGATAGTCGTTGCCAGCTGCACCTACTGCCCTCACGACGTGAGTCCTTGAGGTGGGATAGGGGTACCACTCCCCCTTTAGCTGGAGCAGAAACTTGCCCTCTGGAGAATAGGATGCTTATCTATAGTCATCTGTCCCCTCCTTGAATGGTTCTGTTCTCTGGGCTGCAATGCCACCCCTTTGCCTTCTGAATTCTTCCCTTCTCCCTCCTGCAGGAAGTGCTCCTGTGTGGCTGCTGCTGCTGCTGTGTGTTGGGCTTATTGTTATGACCATCCTGCTGCTCCAGAGTGCCTTTCCAGGTTTTCTTTAGCCTCCCTGCTCCCAGGGAACCAGGGGCCTGGACACTGCCACCTTCTAGACCAGAACGGAGGCCTGGACCCCACTGCTCACTCCACCTAGGTCTACAGCTGAGGTTGCCATGGGTGAGACTGATGGGCAGTGCCTGCCCTTACCAGTTAAAGCCCGACTCTGGCCCTGTGCAACCCTGAGTCCTGGGAACCTTGCGTTCATCATCTGTGGATCCACCCAGGACAGTGGTGTCTGAGGGCCAGGCTATACCACTT